TCCTCCCCCCATCCGCACAATGGATGCCTTCCCCTCTTCGGCCCGCGATCTCCCCTACGCGCGTTTATAAAAAGAGATCTCATTAACATTTCTTAGCGGGGCGAGGAGCGGGGCCGGATGCCTAGCAGCGTCCGGGGAGAGCGGCGGCGGAAATCAATTCGGCGTCCGGGGCAGGTCGCCGCTTCAGGTGAGCGCCGCCACCGGAGACTGCGACGCCCGCACAAGTGGCGAGCCTCAATGGGACACCGGCGCGGCGCGGCGCAGCCCCTGGAATTAAATGGCGTCGTCTATTTATATCCTTCGCGATTATGCAGGCTCTGATTTATATGCATGTTGAGTAGCGGGCATTCATGAAGGAAAGAATACTCGTCTATAACGGAGTGTACTAACCAATAGAGACATTTGTTGCGTTTTTGTAGATAGTTAAATATTTTGAAGGTTTGGACTGCTGACCAGTGGAATTTATATATATTTGATATGTCTCCGCTGTAGAATCATAAATGACTTGTCACTTTGTATATGAAGAAAAGTTTTTCATATTATGCTGCAGAAAAAATATTCAAGTTAAGGTCTATTTTATTTACTGAGTTTCGAATTTAAAAGAAAATAATTTTCTGTATCCACAATTCCGTTATTTTTAACTAGTACCAGTTACAGTAATATACATAATAGATTGAAAATAATAAAAAGGTGAACATTGAGGCAATAATCAACAACAGAATCTTGGGCAACAGTTGTAAATTCCACAAAAGAAGAAATGCAACATTACATCAAAATTGAGATTCCTAAACTGCGCGGTATCTTAGTCAAAAAAAAAACATTACAAAACTAGGTTAGAACTTCGATATTTGAGAAAAATCCAGTGTTTTAGAAGCTCGAAGAGCGCAAGTGAATATAAATAGATTGAGAATAGAGCATGCAAATGTTAGTTTCTACTATCTGTTATCCACAACATCAAAAAATAAGCGTTATGGCTGCAACACAGAAATTACAGTGAAACATTTTATTATGTAGTGCTCAAAATAAAAAAATAGAAATCAATTCAATATATCTAATAAACTGTACGAAGAAAATAGATTGCATCGAGACCACTCAACTTTTAAAACATTTTGTATTCTTTACTATAATTTGAGGAGAATCTACTGTTTAACTATTTTTAGTTATTAATATTTAAATAATATAAAGAAATATATTGTATGCAATAAGTCACTTGATGGCCTAGCTGTTAAAACGTGACAAAATAATTCAATTAAAAATTAAATTATTTAAAAAAATTAATAAATTCTAATAAGTTACTTCTAAACCCCTCAATGTATACAAGGCGCTAAATAAAACGATGGCTTTGCACCATTTATATGAAACCATAGACACAAAACTCCGCAGGTACACTTTTGCTATATACGAAGTATTCCTCAGCCCTGCATCATAGAGATTTAAAACGAAAAGGAACGAAATCCAAGTTCGCAGATAAGGAAAAATACAGGGGCACGTGTAACTCAAATACACTTTTCGCTTCACCGCAAAGTCCCATCGTGTATAACTCGGAAAGAACGCCTCCTAGAGCCTTACAATCCGGTTTCATAAAAACGTTACGAATTATGTTGCCTTTATATGTAGTCTACTAAATGAGACCTTCCTGAGCGTCGTTACATTTTTAAAGATTTAACTCCGCAGTAAGAGTTGTTGGAAACGAGAAGTCTCGAAATCTATGTGAAATGAAATTTTTATTTGACGTTTTGTGGAATGTAATCACAACGCTCAGAAAGTTCCACATTCCTGCTCCATAATTTACTATATTTTGAACTATTGACTTATCTAATTCTACGAAATATTTTTGTCCCACAAAATGCCAATTAACATTAAGAGCTTTAATGTTAAGTTAGCCATTTATAGTATTGTGTTCATAAAGTGTAATTCCTATTACTTTCGAGAAATATTGTGAAATGTATTTTTGTTTCGAAAAATCAAATTATATTCTTTTTAGATTACATTTCTATTTACCTGTGATGCAACCTACACAATTATTAGACTAGAAAAATACGCATTACATCAAAACATGCCAATTCAATTTCGCACACAATGTTAGTAAGTGTTAGACCAACATTTCTGGCCAACTACATCAATTAAAAAACCTTCATTACATATAATGTTTTTGAAACTTCTTTATCTTTCTTACACTCATCGCGTTTATTACAAGAAAAGTCCACCAAATTCGTCTTTTCAAGACCGTACGATGAACACATTCCAGAACATATTTTAAGAATATTCATTCTAAATATTGCAATTTATATAATGTAGTTTGCAGTCTTATGAGTACTCTCAGCATTATCCTCCTACAGTCTTCACAATGAAAGCAATTTCTTTGTGAAATACTTATCTCGCCCTTTTTCACTATTGCTTCGGCCAAGTTTTACTAGATAAAATAAATAAGTTGAGGGTCTGTCAAAACCGCGGTCCTTGGATAAGAAGATTGGAAAGGCCCAATCGGGGTTCGTCTCAGTAAGTAAGATTGACAGCGTCAAGAAATGAAACAATGTATTATAATATGATTTTTTTTTATTATTGTGCTTCCGATATTTTCCAAGATAAGGAGCTTCAAGTTCATGGGTCCATAAGTTGGAGCGAAGGGTAGCAAACTATTGACGCGGGAATGCAATACATTACACCCCGATGTGGCACTATGATGGCTTGTGCTTGTGCCTTGTAAAAAGGACTTTTTCTTCTCCACCACCGAACCGAGTCTTGTCAGTTCTCTGTTCTACGCAGGTATCACGGTCTTTCTCGCCTCGGCCGCGCGTCGCCCGTCGTCTGGCGGGGAAAGCGACAGGGTGCGTCGGCATCGCGTCTCGGCTCCGCCCCCGCTCCGCCCCCGCTGCCTTAAGGAGACCGCCGCCGCCGCCCTCCTCCGCCAGCTGCGGGGCGGCGCCGCTTTGTTCCGACATCGCCCGCGCGGCGCGCCACCTGCACGCCGGGTGTTTCCACAATCTCGCCCGGTCGCCAGATTAATTTAATTAAGGCACTGCATTACGACCGCTGGAATATATTTTGGGACGATAAATTTGATTTTATATGTGCTCATTACGAGGTTAAACCACAGGGCCAATCAATACCTCCTCGAGGAAGAGGCTTTATCTTGCGCATTACTTGATGGCTTCCGGGGAGGAAAACTGTTAGGTACGATGTGAGACTTCATTCCCTCAGCTACCGGCTGGGGAATGGGACGTTCCACCGTCTGGCGCCCTTCCATTGAAGAAATCAGTCCCTTTACCTCAGATGGCCGATTACTATCACTGGAAATCGGCCTCCGATCAACGGAGATGTACTCAATGACGGAGGCCGGACAAGAACCTGGGGACTCGCCAGCTGACGAACACCACTTCGTCGTCTTGGATCCTATACTTGACCCAAGAGTAATTCCCAGTTTCTTAAGGTTTTCTTCCGAGATAAAAATCCCCAGTTTTCGTCGTAGATGTCGTCTGTTGTGAGGGCGGTGATGTAAAGGTATCTTCATGATCTTGCGGCAACCACAACCACTTGACGAACAAAGGCGCGTGGGGGGTGAGGGTGGCGGGGGGAGAAGGCGGAGGTGAAGGTGCTATGTGTATCGGGCTCCGCTCCTTTCAAAGCGGACGGTGCCGGGGGACGTGCACAATGCAAGGGCGGCGGTGCAGGCTGTTGTTCTGGGGCCGAGCGCAGCTGCTCAACTGCTCTGCTTCTTCCTTCCCGCTGGCGCCTCCGGCGGCCCGGGAGACGATCTCGGGACTTCATCAACTTGTACTGCACGTTTGCCTTTGTATGAAAACTAGGAAGAAACCCGTTCAGAATTTCAATCTCAAAAGGCGGAGATAATGATCGTATTCTAAAAAAATATATATTTTTTGAAAGTATTATTTTATAAACAAAATAACGCAGAAGATCAAAATTCGCGCTGTAACTTTTTTACTACGAAAATAATTTTACACACTTTTTTATCAAGGATGTGCTCACAGTGCAGACGAAATTTCTGTTTCCCGCTACCGGGCGACAGTGAGGCGAAATTGTGAGACTTATTGATCTGAAAAACACTGAAATAGTGCACCTAAAAACCAATATTCTCATAATACCGCAGTTCATTATTTGAAATATATACGAGAAGCACGCTCAAGACCATCTTCATGTATTGCAGGTAGTCTTGGTATTACAGCCGGCCTTGACTCTCTAGCTGATTTCGGGTGAATGGAACCGACAAAATCAACGAATCAGATCTTCGTTCGTTAGTAGATGTTTCTCAACGCCGTCGTAAGTGGTCGTTGGGATTCAATATGCCTATTTCCATTTACGAGCATGTGTTTGAATGAACCGGGCATATCAATCGAAACGGCCGACCGAAATTTCCGGCAAAGTCAGCTCCGCAGTGTAAAAGTTACTGCTATTTAGAAATATGCTGGAGGAGAATTGTAGCGGCCGGCTGCCCTGATCGGTATTTTTCCGTGGTTTCTCCGATCGACACCAGTCGAATGCCGGGGCAGTACCATATCAAATCGGCTACTGGCCGCGCGCGATCGTTCCTCGCTCTTTCTTGTTCTATCCTCACCCCTTACACACACACACACACACACACACACACACACACAAATATGCAGTACACTACCTCACGTACCAGGGGACCGGTCGGAATCTTATAACGTGTCCCGGCTGGAGCGTTGCCCCGCAGGTGGAAGATACCTGGTTGGGTGAGCCCCCGTTAGCCGAAGAGAGGTCGGCGCCGGATCTCATCATCCAGCAGGGGATCACCGCCACCTCCCGAGCAAAAATATGCACTACACTTACGCGACTACTGACATTGTTAATTGACGCACCAGGAATCACTAGCAACCAACCAGGAATATAAGAAAAGGAAACTACTCGTAGTATGTAGAAAAACTTCTTCACCCATGATTGTTAACAGAGAAGTAAAAAGACTGTAAGATACGAGCATTGAAATAAATGAAATAGGCATAGGGCCGCTGTGTGAAAGGGAGATGAACGAGCAAGAGGGGGGACGAGTACGGAATAGGGCTAAGAAACCGAGGCGAGGGGGGCGAGAAGACCAAGGTGGGGCGTCCGCTCCCGGCGCATAGGAGACCTCAACCGAACAGATTCGCAACCACCACTCGCGAGAAGTGCAGTCGGAGGGCTGTTGCAGGGCGCAAGACCGTTCTGCCAATGCTGTTTAACACAGGGTTTTCTTCGCGGCTGCTTAGGTAATGTAAAGGGGAATATGGAGTAATGTGAAGGGTATAAGATGTAGGTGTAGTAGGTGTTGGAAATTGTCTGTCACGTACTGTATCTCTGTGAAACCAATTTAATTCCATGCTACGTTTGCTAGATGTCTTCAAAAATACCTAATTGCTATTTATATGACCAGATTGCAGAAGATCTAATTTTTGCTTTTCAGAGTAGCGTTTAGGTAAGTGAGTACTTTTTTAAGAAATGTTGAAATGGTACGTTCGGGGTCGATTTGTTTTTTAGCATAGACAACGTTTTTCTTTGGTTCAATATTTCTTACTATGTTTCATATATCACTTTCACATTTGAAATGCGAATCACTTACACATTTGAATATGCGTTAGGTAGGTCCCGAAGTTAGTTCCTGAGAATAATGTAAAAGCCTATTTGTATAATAGTACCTGTTTAAGAAATGTTTTAATTATTCTTCAGGTGCGATTCTTTTAGAACAGAGTAAACGGTTTTTTAATTCGTATAACATATCTTTTCATGTTTACTATTTTTGGCTTATCTTTTACATATTTGTGTACAAATTTGGAGTTGACGAAAACTATTTCCTAGTGTCCTAAAAAAATTGTATAATCCCCAAACCTACACGAGAATGAACTTAAATAATATTTAAAAGGAATGATATTTCTGCTTTTGAGGTGATGCAATAATTGTGTGCTCTTAGGCGAGAACTTTTATGTTCACACAAACCTTTATGTTTGTCCAAATCATAAACCCACCCACCTGAGCTGGTTGCAATTCGCACCGAGCCGCACGCAACAGAAATGGCCTGAAATGGCCGCGGCCGCGCCCAGGGGTTAAATATTTTGACTGCGGAGCTGCTTTACGACGCCGTTCGGGGCGTCCGCGAGTCGGTAAATAACGCGGCAACACGCCGCCGTCACGCGCGCCGCTCCTCAGTCGGCGGTCGCTCCGCGCCGCGCCGCTGTTCGCCGTGAGTTACGGTTGGCAGCACTGCACCGCGCGCGCGCGCGCGCGCGCAACTCATCTTCCGCGCAGCTATTCATGTATAGCACCGTGCGAGGAGGTGGTGGCGGCGGCATCCGTTTAAACCCTTCGCTTCACCCTGCCCGCCCGAGGACAGGTTATAGATTAAACCCTGCGCTGCGCCGGCCTCCGCCCCTCGCCGTCGGGTGGCAAGGTGGGGAGGGGGAAGGGGCCATTTGCGTTTGAATGCACCGCCGCTCGCGCCTCCGGCTAACGACTCCGCGCGGGGGCTGCTGGGGCAGGGTTTGCGGGGGGGGGGGAGCGGGCCCTGAGTATGACCCTAAGGCCACATGTAAGTACGCTTCTGGAGCACGTGGATGTGCATGTGAGTGTAGATGTCTTAGAGTGTGAATGTGTGTGAGTGAGTATGAGGGATGCGCCTATGTATGTGTGTCTTTGTGGAAGTCTGAATGAGTGTTTGAGAGTGTGAATGTGTGTCAGGATGTGTACGTGTGTGTGTTGTACGATGGTAGGTGAAACTCTTAAAAAGACACTGGGTAGCCCGTATTACCCAGCGTGTGAGATTTTTACTCACTAAAATCAAACCTCCATTCTCTTCCACCTTCCCGCTGAACAGCCTATAGGCAATTACATCTCAGGAAGTGGAATAGTGATCCAGTCGCATGATGAGAGAGAGAGAGAGAGAGAGAGAGAGAGAGAGAGAGAGAGAGATGCATAGAGTGAGAGAGATTTTCTGAGGAAGGGAAGGAGGGATGATTAGAGTGGGAGAGAAAAAGTGAATGATGTGCAAGAAGGGACACTGAAAATAGTATCTGTAACTCACATCAATTTTAGCATATTGTATTGCGGAATGAACACATTTATGTAAAAAGGGGAGATATTCGATAGCGCTGACACTTGATTAAATGAATAATGCGAGTAGTTATGTAACGCTCACGACGTTAAAGCAAACTGCATAATGTTTGGGGCGTTTTTCACTAACTGCCCATTTGATGCGTCAGTCTAGTAGTAGGGTCAAACACCATGGGAAACATATATTCAGGAATATTCAATTCAAATATTAATTTTGCCAGGGAAATTCCTTTACTTCAGACTTGATTCTGATCATTAGTAATTATTTCTCACGTTTATCTTCTTAATTTTCTTCATTTCAAACCTGCCACAAGTATTCTTTTTGTAGACGAGGAAATATATCATCACTTCATCACTTCATGTAGCAGAGCTAGTATTCTTTGCTTACTCATAGGCATTCGAGTCAGTACAGCGGGATAAAAAATGTGACTGGTTAAAATACTAGTGTTCTTTGGATTTTCACTCTTTCTTTATTGCAAATTTTACTTTTAACCTTTTTTACTCCTCCTAAATATTTTTTTCTCCACTTCCGCCTGGGCAACCAGCCAATACTCTTCACAGAGAGAACTGATTTGTTAAAATATAAATTGAATTGAAAGAAATTCAGTAGATACTCCCCAAAATGCTTAAAATAAATTGGAGTTTTTTTTACTTCCTCTCAGAATACGAGTGCTTCTAAGGATGACACAAAACCTAAATGTCGAGTATATGTGAATAAACCAACAAATATGTTAATAAAACTGCCTTATTTTATCTAAATTGTTTAAATGTAATATCCTATAAAAATCTATAGTGCACAAAACCCTCATTTACAAAAAACTGAAGCAAACGTACATCAATTTATCTGACAGACAAATCTACAATTAAAACAAATATGAAACATGTGAAAGACACTGGTATGTCGAAACAACCTAAAAGTAATAATTGATTAGTATTAAGTGGAATAATTCTTTCCTTCTCTGCCGCTCCATCTAATTTTGGCGATTGTGGCTGGGCTCCTTCTCTGCCTTGGAAGTAACTTCCAAGGCGCTGCGGTAGTCCGAATTTGCTTCGCATTCCAACGTTCGGCCAGACACACACACACACACACACACACACACACACACACACACACACACACACACACACACTGCGCTAACTCATCTCAGTGGCACTGGCGAATCCCAGTGCGCGACCTGGATGTGGCTTGGCGTGCTTTTCGCTTCCGCGCGCCCTGATTGGCGGTGGCGCCAGCGCGTTAATACTGCGTGGATTCCTTCCAAACGCATTGTCTGCCTCAGCGCCGTGTCGCACCCTGAGATACGGGCCGGTCGTATACCTCTAATCGCAGTTGAGACTGCGTGGTTTTTGTTGACAGCCCTCGGCGACTGTGCCAGCAGAAGAGGAGTTGGCACGCGAGCAGTTGAAACTGTTCGAATGTTGCTGAATTTTGTTTTCTTGTTACACTTTGTGGACGCGTGTATTCAGCAAGTAGCAAGGTGTTGTGCAATTAACCACGAAGTCTCAACTTTGTTATTTCATTGGTGGTTAACAATGGGGAGACATAAATGGAAAATCAATAAACAGCCTGCAAAAACACACTTATGCGCATTGTCCTGATGAAAATGAAATATCAGAAAACTAAAAATAATTATTATTATATTTAAGAAATTTAAATGACTGTGACTAAATCGGAAGATCATGTTTACAATTTTCATTTATTCTTTTTGACGGTTTTATATTGGATATCGTCTCGAAAGCAAAGTTCTTTAATCCGCTAAAGTTGTGAAAGCAATCAACGTAGCATGGACATTAGCCGTAAAAATGAACTCTCCATACCTTACTCAATTGACAAAACTTGTCTGATAACCTCCTCCAAAGGGAAAACAAAACTTCCGCCAATCAATGAACGACACTGTGCGTCGCAGTGTCCGCTCCCCCCCCCCCCGGTTTCGTAAACGCAAAGACAATGGAGTACTCGTAGTCTCTCTATGAAAGAGTGTGGATCTAGATTTGCATTAGAATAGACAATTTCGTGGGTTGGTTATCGAGTCGGCTCCTAAGTGGCGGACGACAAAGCGCCCTGGCCATCGCTCGCCCATGATACGCCCTGATAAATCTCGACGCTCAAGGGGTGACCCGGCAAGGGAGGTCCCGGAGGAGGGGCGCGGCTGGTCTCGGGGGGTAGAAATACGTTATACGTTCCCCACGAGACGTTGGTAACGAAGCCTTGTTGTTCCGTCAAGAGCTTTAGCTGGCTACCCCTCGGCACAGGGAACCTCGCAAGTCGGAGGGGCGCGGGCCCACTTACGGGGAAGGGCAGGCGAAGAGGGGTAATTTTTCATGCGTGTGAGGGGCGTCGTACCCAGATGAGAGAGACAGGGGGGGGGTTATCCATGGGACCCGAGTGGGAGATACCGTAATGATTTGGCGCCCCAACGAACCGGTTTCTACTATCTTATTAAAAGCCTTTTGGATCACAGAAAGTACTTATTATAATCTTCATTAAGGAGCTGTTTATTAAATGCGTGGCGGAGAATGAACAGTTAAATGCGTCTCGAGAAAGGTTTACTCTTATTTCTAAAGAGCGTGGAAACAATGCACTTGCTTCGAATAATTAAATCACTCTACATATTTTACTGCGTTTGAGCGGACGCGAGACGAGAAGAAACGAGCTGAAGTAGAGGCAGTTTTTGTCACATATAAATTGCTACGGATATTGTCTAACGTGACGTTTCTGTTATCTGTTATAGTGACTCGCACCGTCTTTCTTTGTATTCCCTTGAGATCATAAATTAACATGGAAAAGTTTCTTTAGTATTGCCTACGATTTTAAATCATTATTCAATTTAAAAACATATGGTTGACAGAAACTCTTCAACATATAAATAGCAGATGGTATTGAATTCACATTTTCGTCCCAATATAAACAATAAAACCTGAATGAATGTCGAAAACCTCATTTGTGAGCAAATGGAAAGCATGAAATGTACTCGCTTTTTACTCGCTTTTCCTGGAAGAGCTCGTAGATGTTTTAATATTTTGCCTTTTTCAGTATGGAAAATCATTGCTATTATGCCGTATATTGTGACGAGAGAGCAAAGATCGATCATAGAATGAAATTTATACGAGAAACCAACCATATGGTGACAACACCCATCTCTTAGGCAAGATTCGAACTTCAGCCTTCGCCTCCGGTCTCTTGAATGCTGTTCCAAACCCCGCGCTCTCGACGTCAGCAAAACGTTAATATCCACTCTCATTACTCATCGGAAAATCATGCAGCCTCGTTATAGTTTCATCAACTTCAGATGGCAGTCCCAACTTCTTCTTCTGTCTCCACAGCAATCGTCAATGACGAGCAGACGCGGCGGCGAGTGGGCCCGCGTCGCGGGTTTTGGTTTTTTTTTTTTTTTGGGGGGCGCGCGTCGCACGCGGCCTCGCGTCTCCCAGCGGACGCGTCCTTCCTTCTCGCCGCGATATCATCTGTCGCGTTTTGTCCGCTCAATCGAGGGGGGCAATTTATCGGCTGCCGCAAGCAGCGATGCGCCCGTTCGCACGCCATATACGGCTGGACTCTTGCCAGCGCTCGGTGTGCGGACTGCCGCTGACACGTCCGCCTTGTCGTCTCCTCCCAGGAGGAGAAGGATTTGCGAGGAAACACTCGTGGCGCTCTGTGGGTGGATTTTTGTCGTCACTTCCATCCCTGTTCTACTACGGACTATCGCCACAGACATTACCAGCATTGTTATAAACATTATTGATGGCATTTCCATAATACCTGCTATCCCTGACACTTCATTACAACGCTCGGAATTTCAAATTTACTACCGTCTCTTCCCTCGTCGATCAAAAACAAATTTTCTTTGAACTAGTGTTTTATTTTTCTTATTTCAATTTCCATAACCACCACTTCTGCAATACAACGTTTATTATCATCTCCCACCGCCAGCCATCATTATCCCTCCACTACCAACTGTGTCGCCACCATCACTGACATCATCATCTCCCTTACCGTGTCTACCAGCACCCCTCAATTAATTCTGTCAAATAACTACTCCTTAATTTTCAACGTCTCTTTACAGCTAACTACACCACCGCCACCTCCCCTAACAACACTGCTACCTCTATCACAACTACTTTCCACCACCATTACTATCGCCCACCACCTCCCACTGTCATCATTGCTACTCATCACCGCCTCCACCATTACCACAACTCCCACTTTTGCAACCCCATTTCCACTACCAACTATCATCATATTCATCCTGTTTATTTAACTACCTAGTGGTTTCCTCAACGATACGTTTGTTCTTCTGTATGCCACTTTCACGCACAAATCGTCTGGACGCTTGATTCCTTGTATCACGTTCGCCTAATCTAATTTCCTCTTTCAACGTAAGCATCATCCATGTCTTATATTGCTCCCTCCTACAGACCTTGAATTGGAATCGCACTCCGCCCTACCCCGCCCCCTCTC